AAATAAAAAGCAAAAAAGCCTGGGGCTGGGGCTGAGTGGTAAAGCATTTGCCTAACATTCAATTCTCAGCACCACATAAATAAATCAAATAAAGGTATTATGTCCATTGACAACTAAAACGATATATATTTAAAAAGGGAGGGGGGGCTGGGCATGTAGCCCAGTGGTAAAATGTCCCTGGTTAAATCTCCAGTACCAAAACAAAATACAAAGAAATGGCAATAAAATTGTTTGAACACATACAATTAAATTCAAACATGAAACAACAAAAAAGAAGAACATTTTTTTTTTGTACCAGGAATTGAACCCAGGGGTGCTTAACCACTGTGCCACATCCCCAAACCTTTTTATGTTTAATTTTAAGACAGTGTCTCACTAAACTGCCCAGGGCCTCACTAAATTGCTAAGGCTGCTTTTGAACTCATGATCCTCCTGCCACAGCCTCCCAATCACTGGGATTACAGTGTGTGCCACCACACCCAGCAAAAAAAAGAAATCTTACAGAATATGTTCTTAGGGAAAAAAAGGACTTAAACTAGTAATAAAAAGGCATGAATATAGTCCCAGCAATTCATAAGGTTGAGGAAGGAGCATTACCAAGTTCAAAGCTAGCCTAGGCAATTTAGCAAGATCCTGTCTCAAAAAAAGTTTTTTTTCAAAAGGGCTGGAATTTAGCTGAATGATAAAGTGCTTGTCTAGTGCATATAAAGCCTGGGGTTAAAAAAAAAAAAAAAAGAAGACTTTAACTAGAAAAGAAAAAGAAGATATCTGGAAAATCCCAAATATTTGTAGATTAAATAGTCTAGTTCTAAATAATACATGAAACAAACAGAAAATCATAATATTTTTAACTGATAGGAATATTTGTGGGGTTCAACTAAGGCAGTACTGAGGATTGAACTCAGGGGCACTTCACCACTGAGCCACATCCTCAGCCCTATTTTTTATTTTATTTAGAGACAGGGTCTCACTGAGTTGCTAAGTTCCTTGCCATTGCTGAGGCTGGCTTCCAACTCACAATTCTCCTACCTCCAAACCACTGGGATTACAGGCATGTGCTACCATGCCTGGCCCTGATTCATGTTTTAAGCCTCTGAGATCTGTGGGTATTTGTTATCCAGCAGTAAGTAACTGATACAAAAGAAGAGGTCAGAAACAAAAGGTGCCCCTGGAGGATTTAAGAGGATTTAATAGGATATGACAAGGTGACCCTGGCAGAGAAGGTGACCCTGGCAAGGTAGGAAGAAGAAGCGGCATGTTCAGGAAGCAAGGGGAGTAAGGAATCTGTGAAGATCTATCTTCTGGATTTTTTTTTTTTAAATGGGATTGAGAGAGAGAGAGAGAGAGAGAGAGAGAGAGAGAGAGAGAGAGAGGGAGGGAGGGAGGGAGAGAGAGAGAGAATTTTTAAATATTTATTTATTTTTAGTTTTCGGTGGACACAACATCTTTATTTTATTTTATGTGGTGCTGAGGATCGAACCCAGCACCCTGCACATGCCAGGCGAGCACGTTACCGCTTGAGCCACATCCCCAGCCCCTCTTCTGGATTTTATTCACCATTCCATGTAGGATTGGTCCTAAGAAGTTACTTCAGGTGGTCCCTGATATGAGATCAACAGAAATGCTGTGATCTTTATTCAGAAGATGGATTTTAGATGTGGTGGGTGGTGTGTTCCTCCAGACAAGTTCATCTCATTCCATCTGGAATGACTACACTCTACAAATAATGGTCAGATTTTAGAAGGGTTGACTTTTCATTTAACAATCATTTTTTTTTTCAATTACTAGGGATTGAACCCAGGGGTTCTCTACCTCTGAGCTACATACCCACTCCTTTTTAAAAAATAAAAACAAAAATCAAAAAACAAACTATTTTTAGTTATAAATGGACAAATACCTTTATTTATTTATTTTTATGTGGTGCTGAGGATTGAACCAAGTGCCTCACACGGGCTAGGTAAGCATCCCACTGAGCCACAACCTCAGCCCACCCCCATTCCTTTTTATTTATTCACTTTTTACTTTGAGACAGGGCCTTATTAAATTGTGGAGGCTGGCCTCAGATTTGTGATTCTCCTGCCTCAGTCCCCCAAATCACAGGGATTATAGGCATGCGCCACTAAGCCTTGCTAATGATTTTTTGTACTGTCTTCTATACCAGACCCTGTGATAATTACTGAGTAAGATAAGCAATTATATAAATGAGACACAGACCCTGCCTTTAAGAAGGCTGAAATGGGGTTGGGGATGTGGCTCAAGCTGCAGCGCGCTCGCCTGGCATGCGTGCGGCCCCGGTTCGATCCTCAGCACCACATACAAACAAAGATGTTGTGTCCACTGAGAACTAAAAAATAAATATTAAAATTCTCTCTCTCTAAAAAAAAAAGAAGACTGAAATGTGGAGGACGAGAAAGGCAAGAAAATAATGACAACACTATGTAACACATGATGTGATAAATTAGGACAAACCCAGGCTATTAGGAGCCACCAAAGTAGTTAGGGAGGGCTTCCTGGAAGAGGTGACATGTTATCTTCATTTTGAAGAACAAATATAACTTGGCCTGAGGGAAAAGGCAATGGAGAGTGTGAGGGAACCTTCCAGATGGCAGGTAAAGCACGTGCAAAGACCTAGAAGGTTGTCTAGAGGCTTAAAAAAACTAGTTAAGAATGACTATAATATAGGAAATAAGGGAAAGGGTAAGGCTGGCAAAGGCCCAGCTCTTACAGGGTCTCCTATTTCCTGGAAGCCTTTGAATTTTTATTGTCAAAGCAATGAGGAGCAACTGTAGGGCTTTAATTAGTGACACGTCGTCACTAATTTTGCATTTTGGAAGAATTCCTCTTACTGCAATGAGTGGATGTGATTGAAGGGGGCTGGTTGAGAGCCAAGACCTGATGTCAGGTAAAAGGGAGAGTCCAAATAAAGTAATGACTGAGGTAAAGGCAGGAAGGACCTGGGACTGAGGATGTCAAGAAGACTGAAGCAATCAAGTTCATGATTAAATGGATAGAAAGTAAGAGATACAGCAACAATGACTCCTAGGTCTCTGGCTTAGGAAACTGAATAAATACCTTACTCTGATATGGACGCAGGAAACATAACATATGGGCATGGTGCTGCATGCTTGTAATCCCAGCAACTTGGGAGGCTGAGGCAGGAGGTTTTCCAAATTTTAGGCCAGTCTGGGCAACTTAGTGAGACCCTCTCAAAATAATATAAAAACAGGTTGGGGATTAAGCTTATTGGTAAAGCACTTGCCTATCATGTGTGAGGCCCCGGGTTTTATCCCCAGTACTGCCAAAAAAACAACCAACCAGCCAAAGAACAAACACAGGGGAATGTCCAGAAAAAAAAATTGCAGGATACAGATCTCAAAGATATACCATGATTTAGTTTTTATGCTCTTTGTGTCTTCCAAATTTTTGACAGTGTACTATGTCTATAAACTTTCAGTTTTTTTATTCCTTTCTTTTAAATCAGAGTGGCAGAGGAGAAAGCTAGAAAGACAACCAAAACGACCTAGTTTAGGAATTGTCACATGAGGACTGACTAAAGCGAACTGAAATTTCATACCTACTGTGGCAATGGTTGAGAGAAATGTCAATATTAGCTACAATGTACTGAGTGCCTACTATGTACCACAACCACTCCCTATTTTATGGAAGTTAAAAAATTGGGTAATCCTAATTAGAATAAGTTATACTCCAAGAATGTATAATATATCAAAATACACTCTATTGTCTCATATATATATATATAAAAATTCCGCCCCCACCCAAAAAAAAAAAAGTGTGTGTAGCAGGCAGGAAACTGAGGTTCCAACTAGGTTTGGTTAGTCTGGTTTCAACTCCTGATCTCCCCAAGCCATTGTACTAGGCTTTCCATCACTGAGCCCTTTTTATGATTCTTAAATTTTTTCCCGAGGCTAGCCTTTAACTTGAGATCCTACTGCCTCAGCCTCCCCTGTTGGGATGACAGGTGCACACCATCACACCAGACATAAAATCCTGATTTTTAAAATTATTATATAAAGTACAAGCAGACTAAAAAAGGGTAAAAAGCAATTCACAAATCCTGCACAAGATTTTTCAAATGTTTAGGATATTGTAATGGTACTAGCTTGGTCGAGGCAGCCAAAAACATTCACTGTTCATACTCCGTTTTTTTTTTTTTTGTTTTTAGTTTTTCTTTCTGGAGAGCATGTATTATCTTTTTCTTAAGAATATGTTTAACATCCACAATATATACCCCTTGTGTATTGATAGAACCGATGTTGCATGATTTACATTGCGTGTGTCCCTTACATCTTCCCTCTGGTATTCGCCTCCCCACAACCTGGCTTCAGTGCTGGGATCCAACCCAAGGGCTCGTGCATGCTAGTCAAGCTACATACGCAGCCCAGTATTTGCTTTGTGCATCAATAAAGAATTGCAGAATAAATATTTATTCCTTCTAATGGACAATATGTCCCAGCCTACAAGACTTTCGAGCTTCAGACTATCGAAACAACGTGTGCAATTCCCCGCCCCATTTCCATGCAGTTCCTAATCCCAGACACTTCGGGTGGCACTCTCGGATGCATTTATTGGTACCCACTTTCTCCTCCACACATCCCCCCACACCCTCTCCCAGACTTGACACACAGGGCCAAGGGCCCGGCGGTATGACCTTGGGTCATCCTTGGCCGCAGACTCGCGGGGTGACCTTGGGCAAGTCCCCGTTTTCCGCTGACCCGCGTAGCTGGACCCTTGGCTCCGGGCCAGGCGCCCACGCCCCTCTCTTTCCTATCTCCCTCAGCTCGCAGCCCAGGGTCCCCACGCCTACGCTGCCAGCGTAGCGGCTGCCTGGAGTCGTGCGGCCCTCTCATTCCAGACGCTCGTTTACGCCGCGCGGACTGGGAGGGCTCGATTCCCGAACGCGGCCTGCGCCAGGGGCTCGCGGCCGTCCCACAGGCTGGCGCAGTCTTACGCTGCTGACGCAGCGCGCCCAAGATGGCGGCGCAGTCGTCGTCGGGGGTGGCGGCAGCAGAGGGGGCGGCGGCCGTGGCGGCAGCGGCGACGACAGCCGTGACGGCTGCGGTGGCAGCGCGGGACCTGGGCCGGGGGGAATGAGGCGGCCGCGGCGGGCGAGCGGCGGAGCCGTGTAGCAGAGAAGCGCCTTCCCCTCCCTGCTTCCCGTGGCCGAGCCGGGGACGCGCGCGCGCGGCCGTCAGGAGCGGGCTCTCCACCCCTCCACTCCCGCGACCCGCACCGCACCCCCACCCGGGCTCGGAGGATGATGAAGCTCAAGTCGAACCAGACCCGCACCTATGACGGCGACGGCTACAAGAAGCGGGCCGCGTGCCTGTGTTTCCGCAGCGAGAGCGAAGAGGAGGTGAGGCGCTGGGCGCGGCAGGGTCGGGGTCGCGGGCCGCTGGCGGCCACGGCGCGGGGGGCGCGGCCGCCCGGCGGGGTGTGCGCGGGCAGCGGACTGGGCCGCCCGGCTCCGCGCGAAAGAAGTTCCGACGGAATTCCTGAGGCGGGGAAGAGGGGGACACAAAAGGGCTGGCGGGGCGGAGGGGAAGCGTCTGTGAGCGGGGCCGGGGTGGACGCGCCCGCCCGGGGGGATGCCAGGCTGCCGCCAGGGCGCGGGGGGCGGCCGCTGAGCCACCGGGGAGCGCCCGCGGGGAGCAGGCAGCGGCCGGGAGGGCCGGTCCCGGGTCCGGACCCCCAGCTCTGACCCAGGAAGGGCAGCTCCGCGCTTGTCAGCCCAGCACATGTGTGCAGAGGCCGCCGTGCACGAGGCGCAGGCCGGCCTTTGTGGCAGAGCATTAATTTTGTCCGCTTCGTTGGCAGRTTTGGGGTTTGTGAGGGATTATGTGTGAGCCCACGCCAGGGACCCGGGTTGCATTAGGAAGATTTAGGGCGTTGTGCACAAGCCAAAGCCAGCTGTTTATTTTACAGTGCCTGGTTAGCCCTATGGTGTAGCCTGAGAAGAAAGGACACTTGAGAAAATAATTTCTGGGGACTGATTTTTGTTTTTTCGTTTTTATTGGGAAGACCAAAAGTGGCACTTAAGATCCCTGCCGTTCCTCCGCTGACCTCTAGCAAAACCCTTAGGATTAAATTTGCCAGGAAAATAGAAATGTTTTAGAATCTGTTTCTTTTTGCCTCGGGTACTTAAAAAACAACAACAAAAAAAACTCGTTTTCTCAAAGCCGTTTCTGTGGTGATGAAGGGAATTCAGGGAAGGCACATGTTTTGTAAATCCACAAAGAATAGCTGCTTTGGAAATTCATAAGATGCCTGTGGGAACGCATTTTTCTCTTGTGCATGATGGTAAAATGGCAGTTAGGCTGGAAACAATGAAGGACAGTGAAATTCAATATGTTATATTCCAGCGATCAGCAGTGGGCTATGGTGGCAGGGTTGCAGTACAGTGCAAGTGTTGAAATGGGGGGGAAAGGAACTTGACCCGTTAGTTATGAAAAGAAGCTGTGATGAAAGAGACGGACGGACTGCCAGGAGTTGCTGCTGTCCAGAGATATTTAGGAGGAAGTGGGAATTTAAATTACTGCCTGAAGAAAATCAAGGAAGCACTAATTGTGCTCTTGAGGGATCCCATATGTGCCCTTTCCCCGCAAAACAGAAGAAAAGATATGGAAATGTATACTTTGTGACCTAGCCTATATTAAAAACGTCCCTCAAAGAGATGCTTGTAAGAGTGATACTAATGAGGGCCATTTTGTAAATTATGTACTGTTTTGGAATACATACTTGAGTAAAATGAAATTATTGGTGGTGGTTCCTGTTCTAGAGGTTTTGTTCTCTTCATTATCATATCATATTATGGGAAATCAGATGGTACGATAGGCTGTTAACTGGAGGGAAAGCAAATTAGCATAATAATGTTTTTCTACACTATGCTTCAGTCTGAGAGCACCCTAATTATAAGTAGAAGGGTGTATAATTTTGTCATGAATGATACAAGACTTTTTTTTTTTCAAATCATACTTGAAATTGAAAACGTGAGTATTTGGGATAAATTCGAGACCCTGTGTAGAACATAAGCAAACTAATAAAAACTTGATTTTCCATTTTCTGTTAGAAGTTTTATCATGTACTGATATTAGCAGAGTTAATGTTGCACGTTTACTTGAATGTTTAGGCTGCCCAGCTGCTGCTTGCAAATTAGACTAGGCATAAGACCTACGTTTTTAGGAGCTTAAGATCTTAACCTGTTGAAAGAAGTTTCTTGAATGGATTAAAAGATTTGCCTGATCATGGAGTTTCCTTTAGTGATTTCTTTTTGAACATTGGTTAATGAGCAGAAGAATCATGTAAATCTTTAATTACAGATTCAGTTTGTGTTATAGCTAAAGCCTGTGAAGAACAAGAAAAATAATGAAGTGGGCCCATTTTAGACTTATTCAGTTCATTTAAGCAAGTATGTTTTAAATAAAGAACCTACTATGGGTGCAGCTCTCTGTCATGTGAGATTTAAAGAAAATCATCCCTTCTTATCCCAAAGTAGTTTTAGATGGGGTTTCTTAATTGAGAGGGATTTTGGACCACAAAATAATCTCCAGAGCACTGTTCAACTTTCAAATTATATAATTGTGTTGGAAGGGAAGTGATTTGTTAGTTCCAGGAGAACTTTTATGTTCTCAATAGATGTGCCAGAGACTGGAAGTATTAGCCGCCACACATTGTGGGAAAGTGAAATTCAAACTTAACAGGACATTCAACCCAATTTTATTTTTTAATGGGAACTAATGGCTTTAATCAAGATAAATAGTTTACAGAATATTATTAGCATAATATAGTTCTAATGTAAATATAAACATGAACCTTGATTCATAAATTTAATTAGCTAGTGTCAAGAAACAAAAACAAATGTGAGGAAAAAGATGGAAATATTAGAAGATAATTGACCATTGAATAAAACCCTCTAGCATTGTGTTTTTTTCAGCCTCAGAAAACTTTACTTATAGGCCAGTAGTGAGAACAGCTGAAGTTCAGATCCGGGTTAGGATGTGTGCACATGGAATGTTTACTGAGTGTTCATTGAATGTTGGGAGTGGGAGACAGGCATGAAAGGAGGGGGCTCTGGGGTTAGTGGGAGAAATAGAAAAAGAGGCCCAAATACAAGATGAAAAGGAGTTCTCTTTCTTCCAGACTTCTGGCTTCTTTTCCTGTTGATAAACTAAAGTTAACCAGAAAAATTCCCCATAACAAGTTCTACTAATTATTTGATGTTTTGATGCTGGACATCAAACAATACAAGCTAGGCCAGTGCTCTGCCTCTGAGCTGCACCCCCATCTCTTACTAATGTCATTAACATTTTGATAAAATCTTGAGTTTGGGGTATTTGTGATAATGAACACATTTCCATAGTCCTGTGAACCTAATGTACAGGGGCCGTGCTCTTAACCAGCCCCCACTCCAGTCAGCTTGGCTCAGTGAACATTGGTTACTCATCAGGCCACTGGGTTCCCTGTACCCCAGCCATGGTCTCCCAGAAGTGAAATTGTGTGCTTATAAGGAGTCAGATGTACTTATTCTTGTATCTGTTCATGCTCATCATATTTGTTGTTGTAATTATGCAACTTAATTAAATATGCCATAGGTCAGTGAAATTTGAGTTCAAAAAGGAATAGTTTATGAGGAATATTTTAAATGCTTTGGGAAAAGTCTATAAATGCAAGTCACTAAAATAAAATTACTGCTCAATTATATATGGCAGAACAGACTGGAAGAGATTGGGAAGAAATCTTGAAATTTAAAAGGACTTTGCTTCTGTATTACTTTATGACCGTTTTTAGGATTTTGTTTTGTTTTGGTACTGGGAATTGAATCGAGGGGTCCTTAAACATGGAGCCACATTCCCAGCCCTTTTTATGTTTTATTTTGAGATAGCATCTCTCAGTTGCTTAGTACCTCCTCACTAAGTTGCTGAGACTGGCTTTGAACTTGTGATTCTCCTGCCTCAGCAGGAGAATATAGGGAATATAGGCATGCGCCATGGCAGGGTTTTTGTTTTAAAGAAACTAGGACTGGAAAACAGGTCCTTCATTATGTGTGTGGTGCAGGAAAGACAGACAACTTCAGTAAGACTCACACTTAAAGCAAGATCTTGGTCTTACAAAGATTGGTGAATAAATATACTTTTATATTTTATTTTGGTACTCTGGATTGAATCCCTGGATGCTAACACTGAGCTGTTGCCCTATTTTATTTATTTATTTATTAAAAAAAATTTTTTTTAGGGGCTGGGGGTGTGGCTCAAGCAGTATCGCTCTCGCCTGGCATGCGCAAAGCGCTGGGTTCAATCCTCAGCACCACATAAAAATAAAATAAAGATGTTGTTTCCACCAAAAACTGAAAAATAAATATTTTTTTTTAAAACATCTGCCAAACTCTTTTTTTTTTTTTTTTTTTAAGAGAGACAGGAGAGAGAGAGAGAATTTTTAATATTTATTTTTTTTTTAGTTCTCGGGGGACACAACATCTTTGTTGGTATGTGGTGCTGAGGATCGAACCCGGGCCGCACGCATGCCAGGCGAGCGCGCTACCGCTGAGCCACATCTCCAGCC